ACAAATGCATCTTCTTTATGTTGCCTGGGCCAGGGGTGCCTGGGTGGCTCAGTCAGTTGAGCGTCCAACTCTTGATTTTGGCTCAGGTCATGATATCGGGGTCCTGGGATCAAGCCCTGCGTCGGGCTCCACACTGAACTGGGAGTCTGCTTCGGGATTCTCCCCCCGCCCCCCCCCCACCGCCCTGCTCTGTGTTGCCCAGGTAAGAAATGAACACCTCTTTGTGAAATAAATATTAATGGTTTATTTTCAGCCAATTTCAGGAAAATTTCATGAGCCCAGTGGGGGTTAAAAAACAAAATATTTGAGTGAGAGACAAGAGACCCGAAACCATCACTAACTAATCCTGTAACCTTGGGCATATACCTATTCAGTTTTCCCATCTGTATGGTGATGGTAATAATACCAGTTCTGTTTATGTTGAGTTGTTTTGGAATTAAATGAAATAGCAAATGGAGGCACGCTGAGCAATGCGAAATGCTAGCAAAGGGGTAGTATTCTGGTTGAGCCAGTGAAAGCCTGGACTCTGGGGTCAGACTGCCTGGGTTCAAGACCAGTGCTTCTCCTGGCCTGCCTAAGTGACCTGAAGCACATTATGAACTCTCTCTGATGCAGGTTTTGCTCATCTGAGATTTGAGAGTAGGACTGGTACCTGCTTGTCAGGCTGCTTTGAGGATTAAATGAAGTAAGGCACTGTTTGAGGAGTGCCAGGCAAACATTAAGAAGTCTATATGCTACTATTATTTGGTTACCTTTCATTTGGTTTTTAAACACACATTTTCCAGATTCTGGACGTAGGCCATACAGATGTACACATATAAACAAAGTTAGTAGTGCATCCCTTGTCCCTATACGTAACAATGCTCAGACTAGAGGCAATGGCTGCATAGAAGTGTCCCAGAGAAGAAAGTTTCTGGACTGATTATAAGACAGAATTACTCGTTAGACCTTTTCTGGGCATCTTGTCTAAGTGTCAGGTGCCGAGAGTGTGAAAATGAGTAAGATGTGGTGTTTGCTCTCTATGAGATCACAAGGACGTGGGGCAGGGAGAGACAGAGTAGAATGTGCTGTGAGTACTCCGATGGAGCTGTGGATGGTACATGCCAGGATGGAGGGGGAGCTAGGGGAGACCCTGGATAGACAAGGGGAGTCTCGGGGGAGGTGGGAACAGGTGCTCGGCAGGTGCAGAGGAACCTTGACTTACTGCTCAGAAAGCTCCATGCTATTGAGTTGCATCTTGGAGAATGAGTAGGCATTTTCCAGAAGGAAGCTATGGAGAAGGGCATCCCACTGACCTGCCCTCCTTCTGTAGGGTTGTTGCTGCCACTTGGATTTCCAGTGAGGGCATGCTACAGTTTCTGAGTTATTTCAAGTGTCTTAGGGTCTATTCACCCTCTTTTGTGCAAAAAATAGTCCTTCTGGGCCTGTCATGGAGCTCTCCCTTCACTCCAGTGGGGTTTAAAGCTGTGCTGGCCAATATGGTAGCCACTCCACATATGTGGCTCTTTACACCAAAATTAATTAAAATTAAATAAAACTAAAGGTTGAGTCCCTCAGTAACACTAGCTACATTTCAGGTCCTCAATAGCCACATGTGGCTAATGGCCTCCACACGGCCAGCCCAAGCATTTCCATTGCCACAGAAATTCTGTTGAATAGCACTGTCCTAGAGCGTGCCCTGGCATCATGCAGAGAAAGGAGTGGGACATTTCTTTGTGCTCCCTCTCAACTCCTGCTGTTGTGAACCTCCAGGCTGGGTGGTCAGGCTCTCAGGGGTTGTAGCCAGCTCTGCCCCAGGCTCTTCAAGAGCCAGAAGCAGTCCAGTAAGACCTCGTGCAGTGACATCTGCTTCCTCCTGGACTGTAGTAGTTCTGGCACTCCCTGCCCAGATTCAGCTTAAAATAGAGCAGTGCTGGGGGAAGATCTGGCTCATTTCAAAAATTGATGAAGTAAAAGAAAGCTTTTTATTTACCCCTCATCACTAGCACAGAAATCCTCTTGTGAACTCACATAGGCTTGTAATGTGTGAAGAGAGCTGGTCAGAGGGAGGTTGCCTGGAGGCGTCATTCCCTTTAGGGAGCTGGATGAGGGCCACTGCTTCAGAATTCTTAGAGTCATGCACCAGGGTAAGGAGATTGCCCAAGTTCACAGCGATTAATATCAGACACTGGATTTTGCCTTTGCAGTCAAGGACTCTCTTTGTAGGCAGACAAAGCTCACTGCTTGGCAGCAGTACATAGCCAGGCCTCCCTTCCTTTGATGGAATCATGACAAATTGTACATGGACAAGTATCATCAGATGAGCCAAAGGAGTGTGCTCTTCAAGAATGATAATCCTGTTGTAAAGCAAAAAGAACAAAGCGTGGTCTCCACAGCACTTCACTTCTGAACCTTCAGAACCATTGTGTTCGAGTCTCCATTATGACTTACGATTTGCCACAAAATCATTTTATTGGGTTCTGGTGTCTCTGGAGGTTACACAGTGCCAAGATCTGTGTGTAATGGGTAATAATTACAGTTTGAGAGGCTTTTGGGAAGTTTGATTTACAGCTACTATCTGACCTGATTTTAGGAGGAATTTAACCTAACTTAATTCAGGTTCAGTTATAATTTTCCAGAGTAGCTTTCATTTCAGGAACCTAAATCCATCTGGATAACATGCTGATGTTATAAATTATAACATCTACCCCATCTGTTGAAGTAACTTGGAGTTTCAGAGTTAGGTTGTTGGTAAGTCTGGAAGGAGAGAGAAATCTTTTTTCCAGAATGCTGCTTCTCCTTCACTCACCTCTGAAGGGGAGTTTTCAGTGTCAGTGAAAAATATCCCTGGTTTCATAGACAATCAAATACAGAGCCTTGAAACTTCAGTTATGTTTAGTCCCTGGGTAGGCTGGTTACCTGTTGCCTTGTTTCAGATTATGGTTGTCATCTGTAATTTATCAGTAGGATCAGGTGTGTTTGGAAAGGTAGAACAGACCAACAGAAGCAGCGGTCCGTATCTGTTGGAGCTTAGATGGGCATCATTTGAGCACCTACAGTGGACAGTGCCGCAGCTGACCCAAGAGCCTCACGCACTGTCAGTGGTGCGTGCAGTTTCCATTGGCTCAGGTCTCATCAAGGAAAGGGCAGAAAGGTAACTGGAGGTGATGGAGATAATGCACAGGCATTGGTAACCTTGCTGGGCCTTGATGCAGTAGAGCTGGAGGCCCTATAAGAGAGGCCATGACTCTTCCATTTCAGGGATACCTCCTATCTGTGAGTGGGGGGACCTGCCAAGCATTTGCAACACCCCCAGTTCTTATCCCGGTGTTTCACTGGGGTTGAGCCTCACGGGGGTTGAGCACTGTGACTTTGAGGTGCAGGCTCTGGGGCCTCCTGAAAGGTACATGGGAGAAGAGAAGACAGAAGGGCTGGTTGGTCGGTCTTAGCTAGGAGGGAACGGGTGATTTTTTAATCCCCACTTTATTAAAGGTCTACTTACAAAAAATAAGATAGAGATGCTTAAAAAAAAAAGATTTATTTATTTGAGAGAGAGTGCAGGCGTGAGAGCAGGGGGGAGAGGCAGAGGGAGAGGGAGAGAGAATCTTAAGCAGACTCCACACTAGGCACAGAGCCCAATGTGAGGCTTGATCTCATGACCCTGAGATCATGACCTGAGCTGAAATCAAGAATGAGATGCTCAACCGACTGCACCACCCAGGCGCCCCAGAAAGCAGTGATGCTTTTATTTGATGTCATACTCTGGATAATTAGGGTTCAATTCTCAATTAACTTTACTAATAACAAGACTAATGGGCTATAATAATCCATCCATTGCCTTTTCACCAGGAGGTTTTTTTGGGGAGCTTCCCTAATAATAAGATACAGAGTATCACTATGGAGCTAACCTTGGAACAGGAGAAGTAAGAGCTTCTATCTGCCGAGGTGAAGGGGGTCACTGGGAGAATGCCGCTCCTCCTCCCAAATCGAGCCTGCTGATGAGGTGAATGACTTCACCATCTCTCCAAGATGTGTTTGTGCACTCTCCATATGTCTCACAGTATCACTGACTCATCTGATGAACTACAATAGGAATAAGAAGGGAAATTGGGAATATGAGTCAAACCTCATGAGTTTGGACTCGGGGAAAAGGCTGGTCTGAATTAGTATGAATTCATGAGGCCTCTAAAGTATATATACATATAAAACTTCATATAAATGGAGAGTTTTATTTTGAATATATGTGAAGACAAACGTGAAAATATAAATATATGAGCATACGCATACCCACATACACATATGTGGATATTCTTTTATTCCTTTAAATGCCACTGAAGCATCATTTAGGAGTAACTACAGAAGAAAGACATAAACCTGGGTCCCTCCTGGTTCTGTTACTAACTTGCTGACTCCTGGACCAGGCTCCTCAGCTCAGCACTACTGATATTGGGGCTGGATGATTCTTCGTAGTGCGAAGCTGTCCTATGCACTGTCGGATGTTTAGCAGCATCCCTGGCCCCTACACAGTGGATACCTGTAGGATCCTCTGCCCCTGACAACCAAAAATGTCTCTCAGAGATTTCCAGACATTGTTCTGGTGGAGAACCGCTGTTTAAGACCATGTAGGAACACGCTCCAGGCCACAGAGTCCTCATCAGTAAACCGAGGAGGACGCCTTCCAGTCCCCTCCCAGCTCGAACGCTTCCAGGACACCTGTAAAGGGTCCTACCAGACTCAGAAGCCACCTAACACCTGTGATGTTATAACCGGGTGCACAGGTGGAAACGTATTCTGAAGGTTAAACACTGACGCTCTCATTTATATTATCCATTGGCTATTGTCACCTACCCCGCTTGCCCAGTGACCGAATGCCAGATGAGTGATACTGTACTGCATTCTGAAGAAGTCCAAAATGGACTGGAAGTTGCTCTTACTTTTTACTAAACTTTATCCACGCAGCTATATAACTGAAGACAGTTCTGGAAATGATTTGGCTGAAATACCTGCTCTTCTTTCCGCAGGGATTCTGACATTAAAGAGAGCAAATGAGCTTCTGAGCACATGCGTGCCGGGCAGTTTTCTGATCCGTGTCAGTGAAAGGATCAAAGGCTATGCCCTGTCCTATCTGTCTGAGGATGGCTGTAAGCATTTCCTCATAGATGCCTCTACGGATTCCTACAGCTTCCTGGGCGTGGACCGGCTGCAGCACGCCACCCTGGCAGCGCTGGTGGACTATCACAAGGTGAACCAGTGTCCAGGCTGAATTTGCTCTGTGAATGGTTGTCTTGCAGCAGCTCTAGCAATGAAAGGCAATTACAAGAAGAAAGATTGAGATGAGTAACGGGGGGATTAGTCTTTGATAATTCTTCCGGATAATCAGGATTCTTAATTGCATTTCCTTTATCATTGAACCTAGTTCCTCCTCAGATACTCAGGGAGAAGGCACTGGGGCAGAGAATGGAGGAGATGCTCAAAGTCCGTGCACACACTGATCGCATCTGAGACCACTCTTAGTGAGAACTCAAGCTCAGAAGGGAAAAAGAGTACATGGCAATTTGCAGATGAGAAAATCTCTTTTAAGATTGCCATAAACCAATAAAGCTTCATGTAAATCAAGGGCAAACAAGAAGTTATGTACTCTGAGGAGGCAGGGAAGGGCATGACATTCTTATTTCTACTGTCTTAACAACCTGCCCACCCACAGCCCAGCCTGATCTCTGCCTTCTGATTCACAGGAGGAACCCATAACTTCCCTGGGAAAAGAGCTCCTTCTCTACCCCTGCGGTCAGCAGGACGAGCCACCCGACTACCTGGAGCTCTTTGAGTGACAGCCTCCATCGTGTCATCCTGCCCCCTCCAGCTGGGCTTTCCTCTGGGTAAACGCTGCTGAAATAGGCCTTTGTGTGAGAAGCCAAAGTTAGCCTGCAGCAGAGCCAACACTGATCAACAGGCAAGTGTCCTTGGAGCCCCGTGGAAATCTCTCTTCTGCACAAATGCTGGAGTTTAACGTTAAGAGAAAATTACCTCTGCATCCTATTCACTCCAAAAGTAAAGAGAGATGATCCCCAATTTCAGCAACTACATGAAGGATACAACCGTAATGAGGTATATAAAATGAACAAAGAAATTGAAACCTTTTAGGAATTAAGGCGTACTTCAAAAACCAGTAGCTCCTGTGAACTATTTTATGACCTCTATGCTCCCTATTTGCATTATTTTGCAACGTCTCAGGATTGTGTTTATGTTAAGTTCCATGTTGGCTTTGGGGAACTGGCGGAAAAGGCTTCACTGGTGGTTGAACCAACGCTGCAGACACACTTCATTTATTATGCATGTTGGAGCCAAGATGTAAGGAAGAGACATAGAAAAACAAAACTTGGGAATGTAAACTGAATGAGGAGTTAAAACTGAGGAGGAGAGGCTTACCATGTCAAGAAATACTGCGGACGGTAGGGGAGTGAGCGAAGAGCTGTGAGAGTTTCCTCGTCCTGGAGGACGGCACAGGGCTCGCAATCGTGAGGCACTGACAGACCAGCGCAGAGAGTGAGCCGTTGCAGTACTACTTGTTCTGGGTTGGATGGTGTCCCCAGGAAGATAGGTTGAAGTCCTAAACCCTGGTACCTGTGAATGTGACCTTAGTTGGGAATAGGGTCTTTGCCGATGTGATCAAGTGAAGATGAGTTGCTACTGGATTCATGTGGACCCTCCATCCAAGGACAGGCATCCTTATAAGGAGAGAGGGCTTGGGAAACAGAGACCCGCAGAGGTGAGGCGGCCATGTGACCACAGAGGTGATGCGGCCTGCAGGCCAGGGAATGCCAAGGAGTGCTGGGCACCCCCACAAGCCAGGATCCTCCCCGGAGCCTTCGAGGGGAATGTGGCCTTACTAACACCTTGGTTTCAGACTTTGAGCCTCCAGATCTCTAAGAGAATAAATTTCTGTTGTCTTAAGCCACCGAGTTTATGGTCATTTGTTACAGCCGCCCTCGCAAACTCACACAGAAGTTCATGTCATGACAGAACCTGATGGGTGTTGTGTGCCATTTGTGGCTACACAGCCCGCCCTCCTGATATGGAAGGAAGAGGGGAGAGGAGAGTAAGCTCCCCCCTGGCTCTGTTCCATTCTGGGATGCAGGTTTGCTCAGTCAGGAGTCTTATGCCCCACTGCATCCGCACCCCCACCCGCCAGCAACTCTCGGGCCGGCCCAGCAAGGGGGACGCCTCTGGGCAGTGACCAAGGGTGCTCTGGGCCAGAGAGTCGTCCTCTGGGAAGATGGAGGCTGGCTTGTACTCCAGGCCTACTCCCTGCCTCAGCATTTTTTCAAAGGAGCAGCCGTTGTGGCAGTTTATTCATGAGGTTGTTGGTTGTGTAACACACTCACAGACAGTGTAAAATGTAACCAGAGAAGAGGGTGGGGTACGTGTATGTATGTGTGAGTGCATATGGGTGCATGTGTGTGCTCTCATGAGAAAGTTTTTAAACACAGATCATTGTGAAGTGTTACCTGAAATGTCCCATGTGTTTCTATAGTCTGAACGACAACTGTCAATGAGACGTTTGTCCAAGAGGACCTGTCTTTAGCTGTCATTTCTAACTGTGGTTCAACAGCCATGACATTTTAGAATTGCAAAGACCACACAGGACCCATATCTTCCCACCATTAGGTCTCTGAACTTCAGTTTTCACTTCTAATAAAAAAAGGTATTTTTTTAGTTGAGGTGTACTTGACATTTAACATTAAACTAGTTTCAGGTGTACAGCATAACGATTTGACATGTGAAATGTCTGACTGTGAAATGATCACCACTGTAAGTCTGTCATCCATCACCTTAAAAGGTACAAATTTTTTTTTCTTCTGATAACTTCTAAGATCTACTAAGTTGCTAAGAGCAACTTTTAAATATGCACGCTAGCATTATCCACTGCAGTCACCATGCTGTACATCCCCATGACTTATTTTATAACTCGAAGTCTGTGCCTCTTGACCCCCTTCACCCACTTTGCCCACCGCCCCAACCCTCCTTCCCTCCGGCAACCACCAATCTGTTCTCTATATCTAGGAGTTTGGCTTGTTTGTTGTTTAGATTGCACATATAAGTGAAACCATAGGGCATTTGTCTCTCACTTATTTCACTTTGCATAACACCATCAAGGTCCATCCGTGTTGCAAATGGCAAGATCTCATTCTTTTTTATGGCCGAGTAATATTCCATTGTGTGTGTGTGTGTGTGTGTGTGTGTGTGTGTGTGTATACACACACCATCTCTTTATATCCATTCATCTGTTGATGGACACCGAGGTTGCTTCCATTATCTTGGCTACTGTAAATAATGACTGCAGTGAACCTAGGCGTGCATGTATCTTTTCGAATTGGTCTTTCTGTTTTCTTTGGATAAACACCCAGAAGTAGAATTGCTGGGTCATACGGTAGTTCTATTTTAATTAAAAGAAGGTGCTTTTACTAGCTGATTTTTATTAATTTCATCCAGTTCTGAAATCTTCTGGTTCTGTAATGAATAGAAAAGTATCCTGTAGTCACTAATCGTTATGAAGACATATGATTCCAGCATTACCCTCTGTCTAAAATTATTTTGGAGGAAATAAGTACAGTCATATCCAGATATAATGACACTTAGTAACATCCTACTGTGGGATGACTTAGTAAATGGGAAATGACCTGACTGAATTAACCTAATAGTACAAGGGGAAGCAGATCTGAGTTCTGTAAGTTTTATCCTGTTGGTTATTAATATTCAGAGAAATAAACTGTCCATTGTTTGATGATATGATGGCCAGCAGTGCTACTTGAAATTCTTCGGGAGGAAGAATGATACAGAATTCAGAAAGTGATTAAAACCAAATGGGGTTGGGGTGCCTGGATGGCTCAGTCGGCTAAGCATCTGCCTTTGGCTCAGGTCATGATCCCAGGGTCCTGGGATCAAGCGCCGCATCGGGCTCCCTGCTCAACAGCGAGCTTGCTTCTCCCTCTCCCACTCCCGCTGCTTGTGTTCCCTCTCTCGCTGTCTCTCTTTGTCAAATAAATAAATAAAGATCTTTAAAAAATAAAATAAACCAAATGGGGTCGAGGAAGCCTGAATTCTCATCCTAGCTCAGCTATTAGATAGAGTCTCCCTATGTCTGACCCTAGTTATGGCCTAAGGCGAGGACATCCAAACCCTCTGAGGTTGCCTCAACAAGCCCAGCCCCCTGGCCTGCCTACGGTTTCTTGGTCTAAGGTGTTCCCCTCCTGTTACTGTCCAGGTTCCAGCCCCAAGCACTCCAACCTGCCTTTCTCTTTGGGACTGTGCGCAAATGCCTCTCACCGCCCACGTTGATTCTTTTCTTTCTCAACTCCCTCAATAAGATTCTAGAATCTCCTCTTACAGTCATCCCAGACTCTCTGGCTGCCACCCCCCCTCCTGCCAGACCCTCACAATCATTAACCCCCAATCAGGTCACCCATAAGGACCCTGGTTCTGGTCTCCTACTCTACCCCTCTTTTGGAGGATGCACATAGAAGTTACTTTGTTCCTCAGTGTCACCAGCAGAGCTAAGCAACGCCAAGAAGTGTTAGTGGGCCCAAAACTTCTGCCAAGAAAAGGAAAAACACAGGGAGAGTTAAGAAGAAAAAGGATCAAGAAAAAGGAGAAAAAGTGAAAATGGGGTATGGACAGGTCACTTAAAATATCTTAGGGGCATTTCTACCAAAATTGCCTATCTGAGCCACACTTTGGAATTAACCATCCTTTTAAGTATAAACTAATGGCATGTGCTCATGTGGCACAAAATATGCTTTTAGATTAAAGAAAGGAAAGAATTCGTGGCCAACAGTTCTGCAGTGGCCACTTCCTGCAGAGGCCTGGAGTTCAGCACGTGTGACGGGCCTCACACGCAGAATCCTCGGGACGCCTGCCATTTGACACACAGGAGACACAAAGATGACTTACAGGGGTGTGTGGATGGGTCTCCACAGGGCCTCTGGGCTTCCCTTCTTGCCAAGAACATGGTAAATACGTTCAGACTGCATCCCATTGGTCTTTCTTTCAGAAGGCAAGTTTCTACAGTTACATCTTTTAAAGAAGACATCTGTTCGACTTGCACTTCCCCTTCCTCAGGAGTGGCCGCAAATCTTACTTGCACGTCTCTCCTCTGCTTTCCATTTTTTGTAATCTCCTCCTCATAGTTTTCCTCTCTCCCCGCTTTCCTGCTGTCTTTCCGAGAGCTTCTCATCTCCTTCCCTTCCGCATCACAGACTCGCACAAAGACACGCAGCGTGAATTCTCTCACTGCATCCACTGTGGACGCGGGCGTTCTATTTCCAGTGTACTTGCTATGCTTCCTTCTGGCCTCTGCCGGATCCTCACGCTTCCTACTGCTGCCCCGGATTGAAAATGCTCAGGAGCCTTACAGGGCAAAAGTGCTCTTTCTACTGTGTGATAAAAACATATTGGTCGTGAGTGAGCTCAGTGCAGTAGAAAAAGTCTAGCAGGTTTGGGTTTGGATCCTGGCTACATCACTAACCAGCAGTGTGGGCTTTTTTTTTTTTTAAGATTTATTTATTCATTTGAGAGAGAGATGGAGCACCAGTCAGAGGGAGAGGGAGAAGCCGACACCCCGCTGAACAGGGTTTCCCGAGGCGGGGCTCGATCCCAAGATGTTGGGATCGTGACCTGAGCCAAAGGCAGACGTTTAACCGACTGAGCCACTCAGGTGCCCCCTAGCTGTGTGGAATCTTAAACGAAAAACAATAGTAAGCCTGTCTGAGCTTCAGCTCTCAAACAGGAGTGACTCAAGTCACCCACTGGATTCTGAGGCTTAGAAAAGAAGTATGTAAAGTCTCTTGGGTCCAACAAAGCCGGGATTCATGCACTCCATGCTCCTCTGTTATGAACTCAGCTTATATAACCCATGGGCT